GCTTTCCCTATTTTTGATAGAGGAAGGTGGTCCCACTACCTTTATTCCAGGAGTTGAAGACTTAGGAAGTCCACTTGCCAATTTTCCACTCCCAGTATGTGGATAGCAGAACACATTAGAATGTGGTTCTCCACAGAGGAGAGAATCAACTCTTTCAGAGTTGCCTGACCTCAGGCTCCCTCTTGGTGGTTTATGTAGGCCACAGTTGTGGCAATGTTCCACTAAACCCTAAATAACTAGTATAGTGTAGGAGAGTCCGTCTCATGGCTCTCAGTTCTAGAATGTTGATGCGGATCATTAACTCCTGTGGGAACTAGGTTCTCTGGATAGTCAGGGAATTGTAGATCCTAGCCTAGACCATCAAGCTTGTGTCTGTTATTACCATCTTCCAAAGAGAGCATAGAAACAATTTCCAAGATTCTAGGGCTGAGAGGGAAAATCACCACACTAGGGGGATGTTTGCCTGGCTGGACAGCAGTAGTGGGCAAACCAGAGACAGGATCTGTTTCACCCACATTGTGAAAATGTTTATTTCTGATTCATCAGTGCCAACAATGAGCATCTCTCTGATGTCTACCGGAGGAGCTGCAGAAAGAGAAGAGGGAAGAGAGGTGATTTCAAATCCCCAGAATGGGCACGGACAGCTCATCACCCATGGAGGTAACCACATTGGTGACCGGAGGTGGGGTGGAGGATGGTGGTGTTCGTTCACCTTTTAATTTTTTCTGAAAAGGTTAACTAAGAGGTGTGTTTTTATAACAGTTTGAAGTTTAGCTTTAAATGGGAAAAATGGTTCCTGATCCCTTGTGGCAACTGAATTTATCACGCTTTCAACATTCTGCTAAATAAACGTAGAACAGAAAGAAGGGATACAGCAACAATATTGTTATAAAGGAAAGAGTAATTCACCTTCATGAATTTTTTCCTGTCATGTGAAGCAAGGTGGTGACTAAGCACCTTATTTTTGAAAAAGAGGAAAGCTATTCTCTACGTCCACTTTTTTAAACCATCCAGTGAAGGCAGTGAATACATCACATGGCCTTTGGTGGGTATGTAGTTCTCCTTGTAAATGTAAAGTATGAAGTGATGAAACTAAAATATTGACCTACCAGCAAGGGGGATTTACTAAAAAGTCTCAAATTATAGTCTCTGTAGCTATCCTCAGGTAATTCCAGTCTAACCTTTACTGTACAACCTGGCATATCTCCCTTGTTATATTATAATGTGGTTTGTACTACAAAACATATGGCTATATTATATCTTGTTGAGTAGACACCCACCCAAAGATATCTGCCTTTTCAAAATCCAATACCTTGTCGTTTGTGATACCTGGTTGGGGATACCTACAATGTATTGAGGTGCTATATTATTACTTCTCTGTATTTGTATACTGTGAATGTAATGGTTTATTCTGTACATACAAAAACTTTGTAATAATCATTTAGGACCACCTACCTGCGCCACCAATAGCGTAATGGTTTATTCTTTACATACAAAAACTATGTAATAATCATTTAGGACCACCTACCTGCGCCACCATCAGCGGCCATGGGTGTCAATCACCTGGTCCTGGCTGGTGACTACCAGCAAACACTGACAGGGAGCACAGCTGCATTGTTTTCAATGCAGTTCTTCTCCCTGTCAGTTTGAGCACACTGATCCGGATCACTGAGCACAGCCTTCCGGATCAGTGTGCTTACAGTGGGGCACACACCCCGCAAACTAGTGAAACACTCCCCTCACACAGTTAACCCTTGGATTGCCTCCAAATGTTAACTCCTTCCTCCCCAGTGCCATTAGTACAATGTCTGTTTATTTTTTTTTTTTTTTGCACTGATCACTGTATTGGTGTCACTGGAGATGTCAGTCCCCCAAGTGTCCCCCACCCCCCCCCCCGTGTCAGATGTCTGCCAGTCCCCCATAAGTCGCTGATCCCCCAATTAGTATATTAAAAAACCAAAATTCCCCGCCATTTACATGTTTTTTTTTTTTTTTTAGCAAAAAGTCCAAAATTTATGACGAAATTTTTTTTACTGGACATGTTTTATAGCAAAAAGTCCAAAATTGGTTTTTTTTTATAGCGCAAAAAGACAAGCTGCACAGGCGATCAAAAACCATCAAAAGAAAGAACAATTAGTGGGGAAAAAAGCACGTAAATTTAACTTTGGTGCAGCGTTGCAAGACCACGCAATTGTCAGTTAAAGTAACGCAGCGCCATAACACAAACCACTTCTGTATCCGCTTCCGGACCGCCCTATAGCAGAAATACTGCTACAGGGTGGCATGGGTATGCAAAATGAGAGAGAGAGAGAGAGAGAGAGAGAGAGAGAGAGAGAGAGAGAGAGAGAGAGAGAGAGAGAGAGAGTGCGTGCGTGTTTCACTCTCCCGTGGTTTTCACACCCCTCTCAGATAGTGTCAGATTGCCCATCAGTACACCAGTAATCACATTTAACCCCTTGATTGCCAGGAACACGCTCATACACAAACCTCCATTGCTAGTATAGTGTCTCAACGGATCAATATCTTTGATCAGATCAGCACTATACCAGCGTTCACATTAGTATAGTGTCCCCAAAAACGCAGCGCTAGCGAGATCAGCCCTGGAACCTGCCAGTACCTACGTTTAGCCCCCACGCTTACCCCCTCCCCCCTTCTCCCCCAGCAAGGGCAATGTCAGCAGGTCACTGTCACTTGATACATTGCACACAAAACCGCAGTGTTCACAGAATCAGCCCTAATCTCTGTTAGCACTTACCGGTAAATTCTGATGACTCTCATATGCAGCAGAGTGCCAGTACTAGTACCACGCTACCTTTTGGTGAACTGGCGAGCACCAGCAGCCTAGTACATCCTGGTGTTTCACATACCAATACTGCAGTATGACTTGGTGATGTGGCTAGTCCCATAAGTGCAGTACAAGCTGGTGCGGTGGCGAGCACAAGTATTGTCCCGCAACTACCAAGAATTCACACACAGGCCCGTAGAGCCCCTAGTATCATTCTGGATGTGCTTGCAAATCCCGATTAGCAGCCCACAAATTCTGCAGCACCCATACTTCCCCCATTCACTGCCCAACCCGGAATTCAGGTGGAAACAGTAAATTTAACTACTCCCCTTGATTTTTTTTCACAGATGATCTGTATGCATTGATTGTGGATCAAAGCAATTTATATGCACAACAATTTATCGCCGCCAACCCAAATTCAAACCTTGCCAGACCATTTGCATGGAAACCCATTATGGTTTCTGAATTTACATTTTTTTGGGGCCTAACCCTCAAAATGGGCATTACTAAATTTAAAAAAAAAAATTAATTGCAGTTGTATTGGTCCACAGACCCGATCATCATATGCCCGTGTTCTCTGCTGCCATGGCCAGGCATAGATATGAGTGTATAATGCGTTTTATGCATTTCAACGACAGCAAACTCTGTCGTCCTCGAGGTGACCCTGAATTTGACCGGCTCCACAAAAAATTCAGCCCCTTGTAAATCACATTAACCAAAAATTTGCAGATATCTATACTCCCCAGCAGAAAATCTGTGTTAATGAATCCCTCGTTAAATTTTTCTGGCCGCCTGGCTTTCAAGCAATTTCTACCCAGCAAGCGTGCCAGATATGGGGTCAAGATGTATAAGACCTGTGACAGGGCAACAGGCTATACATACAAGTTTCGGATTTACGGAGGGAAAAGATAGTCACGTGGAGCCCCCCAGATGCCCAGACTACATGGGAAGTGGCAAGATAGCAATTGGTGTCATTCTTTTTCCATATGGGGTACCACTTATACATGGACAATTTTTATTCAGCTACAGGCATCATTCTGGTATTGATTTTTTCAGCCGGCGATCGGCTTTCATGTAAAAGCAATCCTAGTGGCCAATTAGCTGCAGGATTGCTTTTACAAGCAGCAGGAGATGATGCCCCCCCTCCCCCACTGCCTTGTCGGGCAGTCCCGGGTCATCAGGGGAACCTGAGAATGCAGCCGGTGTTTCTGCCAGCTGACCATAGAGCTGATTGGAGACTGGAATGGTGCCAATCATCTCTATAGTCTAAGAAATCGGAAGCTACGAGCATTTCATCACTTCAATTTCGCAGGATATAAACAGCGCCATTTGTGAAATTGGGAAAGCATCTGATCACACCGATCTTGGTTTAATTAGATAATGTAACGGCAGAGGAGATATCTAGAGTCTGCTAGACCCCAGATTTATCAAATACCACCAAAAGAAAGCTCTATTTGTGTAAAAAAAAAAAAAAAAAAAAGGACATACATTTCATTTATGTACCGTATTGCATGACCGCGCAATTGTCTGTGAAACTAGTGCAGTGTTGTATATAAAAAAAATGGCGTAAATGGCAGTATCTATACCGCAGTTTGTAGACACTATAACTTTCACACAAAGCAATCAATATACACTTATTTGGATTCTTTTTACCAAAAACATGTAGCAGAATACATTTTGCCCTACATTTATAACTAACTTTAAAGTTTACTGTATATTTTTTATAGCCAAAAGGAAAATATATTGTTTTTCTTCAAACTTTTCAGTCTTTTTTTGTTTATAGCACAAAAAAAAAAAAAAAAAAAAAAAAGTGCACAGGTGATCAAATACCACCGAAAGAAAGCTCTATTTGTGTAAAAAAAGGACGTAAATTTTGTTTGGGTACAGCATTACATGACCGCGCAATTATCAGTTGAATTAGTGCAGCGCCGAGTAGCAAAAAGAGGCCTGGTCATTAAGAGGAGTAAATCCTCTGGAGAGCAAGTGGTTAAAAAAAAGAAAAAGAAGAATTTCTCCAAGTGACTAGAGGGACTTAAGCAATGTACTAGTTTAAAAAAAAATAAATGTCCGATTAGTATCACCTCTTCTGACATGTTTTGTAGGGATTTTGCAGTGACCCTCAAAGTTGCCCATTAGTGAAAATAATACAACTGAAGCCAAGGCTGTTCTAGCACAGAACTTCTGTAGCTAGTGCAGGGGAATATTCAGTTTTTACCTGGCATTGTTCTTGTTCTTGTTGGTGGCGTTTCGAGGTGCCACCACTTTCACTGCTTCATCCCAGAATCCTCCACTAGAGCTTTTATTTTCTGGACTATTCCATATACTACTTATGGATTCAGATGACCACTGGGGGCTTGTGTTATTGTTCAGAGTACCCCACACAGAGCTTGCAGAGGTGATAGTGTTCTGAAGCTGCTATATATAAAAAAAAAAAAAAAAAACAAAAACACAACAAGAAATGATCACACATACAATTATTACTATACATGGCTCAGAGAAAATCTCATTTCTCAAATTTAGCTACAACTTTACAACTGAGTAAATTATGGAAAGCATATGAGACTCCCAAAATCTAGCAGTTTTTAGTCACTGGTACTCACAGACGGGGCAGGCGTAGCTGGAAGAGTAATGTTAGGTGGTCGGCCGCGGCCAGCCTGTTGATGTATCTTTTGCATTTGCCTGGCTTCTTCCTGCTGAATTTCCAGAAGAGACTTTGTATTGCCAGTAGACTTTCCTACATTGCCCCAGCCAGGGGCTTTTTGCTGCTGCTGTTGCTGCTGCATACACTTTATCTCCTGCTGCTGCCGTCGAAGCTGCTAAATAAAAAAAATTTAAAAATGAAAGTACAATTTCAGGTAACAAATTAGATTAGATCCAATGCTGAATCTGAGACTACATGTTCAATGGTTTTCTGAACCTTCAGTTTCAGAGTAGACTACAGGCGTCACTTGCACTGGTTCTGGGCGTTAATATGGGCAGTACTGGGAAGCAATGTGAGCCGTTTTGGGCATACATGTGGGCAAGGAATGTTTGAACGAATTGAAGAACAGTGACTATGTGGCATAGGAATTACCTGGATATGACTGAATAATTCCAATCATTTCAAACCCACCCAGCATCCGGTGGCATCTATAGAGTCACAAGAACTACAAAGAGGAATCTATCCAGCTGAACCACAAAAAAAAAGCGAAGGTACAGAAAGGATAACTAAGGGCTCTTTTATACATGCGGCCAGATAAGGGCTTGCTCAGACATGTGGCCAGTGGGTAGTAAAGGTACTGAGCCATGGTTTTACCACTTTCCAACCATCCACCTAAACAAGGACACGCAGCACCTCAGGGCTGTAGACACGCTGCAACACTTTGCGGTAAAAATGAAACCCACTGTCACATTTTGCAGGGAGTAGCACTGATAAAAGAAACCCATTTAAGTTAATGGTGTCGTGGTGCAATCAGCCTGCAACTGCTTGCATTGCTCATGTTGGGTGGTTTGGCCTTTTGAAGGTTAAAGTCGCCGATGAGAAGGAGACATCACTTCCCAAACACCTGTCACCCGACTTCTGAAAAGCAGCCAACCACACATCACTTTTCAAAGGGTGGCAAGGGTTGCCATGTGCCTGAAAGAGCCCTAGCATTCTTGAGACAAGAGAGCAACAAGAATATAAGATATCAGTTAGGCTGATATTGATTATTTGCAAAAACTTCATCCTGTGTAGCTTCGATGTCCCTGATTCCTATATCAACCACCACAATTCATTTGACTGGCTTCTCACGAATGGGAATGGCCATAGATACACCGAGATTGAACCAATCCCTGCTGAACCAGCTGAATTTCAATCCATGCAACTAGTCTAATGGTGAAAAAGCTGGAGAAAGTCAGCCCACGCACCTGGGCTGCACTTCATAGGAGTAGAAGTAGACTGGAGAAACGTATAAAAGAAAGAAGGTGCCTTTAAGTGCAGTAAGACTATATTTATTTGATAGGTAGGGATTAAAAACACTCACAAAAGGTAACAATAAATCAAGCTAATAAATTACATTGTTATGCTTGTCTGTGGCTCTCCTGTCCCAGCTCCTCTTGGACCTTCCGCATTGACCAGCAGTCAAAAGGGGAGCAGAATCACCGACAAGATGGCCGCAGCACTTCTGGAATCAGAACACACGTGGGACACACGTGACCACAATAACGTCACTAGGGACGGTAAAGCATTTTGGAGCATGCACAGAGCTCTTATGTCAAACCTGAGCCCAGGAGGGGATAGAGCTTGAATTTACAGGGGGCGGAAACGGACTAAAATGCCCAGAATAACATCAAATATGACAAAAACAACACAAGAAAGCACTCAACAAGAAACCATAGTTAAAAGTAGTGTACATAGACAAATAGGGCAAAAAAAATTATTCTACAAATCACAAAATAGTTTTCGTGATATGTAGCACAATTACTTTTTTGCCCTATTGTTTGTCCATATATACGGTCTAACTATGATTTAAAATATTTTAACAGATGACTGTTCTGTGGATAGGCTGGTTCTTGTAGTTCCAAGCTGATCCACATCTTTGAGCAATTATTTTTTCGTATCTTCGATATATGTACTCATACTATCCCAAGCCATTAGAGTGCTTTCTTGTTTTGTTTTTATGTCTATTTGTCATATTTGCTGTTAATCTGGGCATTATAGTCTGTTTGAGCTCACTATAAAATCAAGCTCTATTCCCTCCTGGGCTCAGGTTTGACAAAGGAGCTCTGCGCATGCTCTGAAACGAGTTACTGCCCTTAGTGATGTCACTTCTGGTCGCATGCGTTCTACGCTGGTTCCAGAAGTGCGGCGGACATCTTGCCGGTGATTCTGCTCCCCTTTTGACTGCTAGTCGGTGTGGAAAGTCCGGAGAGCAGTTTGGACAGGAAAGCCATAGACAAGTATCACAGCTGGATTTCTGAGCTTGATTCATCATAATCCGGGTTTTTAATCCTTACCTATTGAATAAATATAGTCTTACTGCACTTAGAGGTGCCTGCTTTCTTTTATATTTTTCTTCAGAGTAAGCTTAAAGCCTAATGAAAAAGCTGCGCACAAAAAAAGTGCAAGGGGAGGGCCAAGGACTAGCCATCAGTATTGCCTCCCGCAACTAATCTTTTTCCCAGAACCTAATTCTGCCAGTTCTGTGTCTGTGACCATATTGGTAGAGTAGCAGGCGCTTGTTCTAATGTCATACCCACCTTTGCAATGATTTCTGATCTAACTGATAAATGATAAACATATAACTAGTGGGGATCATGAACAGCAAGTGGGCAGGGTATGCCTTAGATCACACACACAGCAAATATCCAGCTTGAGGCTATGTCACATGTCATTAAAGTGACTGCAATTTCTAATTATTCAGGGTACTGTGAAGCCACAGAAAACCTTACAAGATATTCCCTTATAAGACAGCAAATCACTTTGTGTCTGCTTACAAAAGCATGAATAAACTTGTCCCACATTTTAATTAAAGTTGAATTTAGACTAATTTTTTCTCTACAGTATTCGTGACCTTGGGAATTAAAGATGGCCCACATTTCGCAGGAAGCTGTATTCTGTAAAAAATCTTCACTGCAGGAATGCCCTGTCCTCTTTCCATGTCTAAATGTCTGCAGTTGTGGGATTAACAGTTTTTGGGTGTCCAAGCTAAGCTGCACTAAAAATGATCTAACAGGGTCCAGCCCCCTTCTGCCGTTTCATCCAATATGAAACGTTATTTCATTGATTACACTGCTTGTAAAATGATCTGTGAATGGGATAGAGTCTGATGAGTTACAGAACTCTTTCCCTCATTCACAGATTGCGTTCCAAGCAGCGTACTCAATTAAAGAACGTTTCTGAATGGATGAAAGGGTAGGAGGGGGTGGGTTCCTGTCCAATCATGTTTAGTGCAGCTCAGCCTAGAGACCCAAAGCTGTTAAGTCAGCAGTACTGGATTTTCAGAGATAGGAAGAAGGGCATCCCTGCAGTGAAGAGTTTTACAGAATCCAGCAGCCTGCACAACTTGTGACATACTTTATTCCAGGAAAGTAATGTCACTAAAGCTGTAGAAAAAAAAAAAATTATATTTTAGCTAAACTTCACCTTTAAAAATTGTGAGGTAGAGACCAAGACAGAAATATCCTGAAAGCCTGCAGTTTATATTTTTTGGACCAAAAATAAATTACTGTTACAATTTTGTTTACTTGTCTTTTTGAATGTTCACAAAACATGAGCATTTTGTAGGTTTATTTCAACGAAACCATGAAAGAAGCATATATTCTACAGTGTGCTAAAGGGAGATGTCTAGATTCTAAAAGTTCATTTAACGAGATCAATAAAGACAATATCATGAATATAAAAAAAAAAAAATGAACAGACCTCCTCTTGGCTCTGCCGTTCCCTCTCCTCCTCAAGCTTCTGTATCTCTGCCAAAGACAATGCTGACTGAGATGATCCTATAGAATTCACCTGCTGCCCCCATGTGGATGAAGACGGTAGCTGAGAGGGTAAAGCACAAAATTAGGCCAGAGTAAAAACATTTCCTCTTATTGCATCAAAACATGTTACAACTATAACAAAAAAATACCGTTAACCACTTGCCCTCCCCTCCATAGGATTGATCCCCCCTTCCTGACAAGGCCATTTTTTGCAATATGGCGCAGAGTTCCTTTAACTGACAATTGCGCGGTCATGCAACGCTGCACCCAAATGAAATGTATGGCTTTTTTCCCCACAAATGGAGCTTTCTTTCGGTGGAATTTGCTTGTGCGGTTTTTATTTTTTGCGCTATAAACAAAAAAAGACCGACAATTTTGAGAAAAAGCAATATTTTTGACTTTGCTATAAAACACATCAAGAAATTTTTTTTTTTTTTTTTTAAATCACATTTCATCTCAAATTTAGGCCAAAATGTATTCTGCTATGTTTTTGCTAAAAAAAAAAATAAAAAATCTCAATACGTGTAAATTAATTGGTTAACGTGAAAGTTATACCATCTACAAATGGTGGTATATATACACTGGAAATATTATTTTTTTTTTTTTATACTAGTAATTGTGGCGATCAGCGACTTATAGTGCGACTGTGGCGGGCATTCTGACACTGGGAGGGAAAACTAACTGCCACTGACATCCCCAGTGATACTTATACAGTGATCAGTGCTAATAAAAAGCACTGATACTGTACTAATCACACAGGGCAGGAAAGGATTAACATCTGTTTACATACAGACCTCTCATCTGTCAGTGTTCCTCGTGATCGCCGGGTGTCGGCGGGGAATCTCCAGCAAGGACCCAGTGATCAACAGCTGTAGCCATCAATGGCTGCGTGCGCGCCCCCTACCCGGAAATACAAAATCATGTACTTCTGCTATAGGGCGGCCGGGAAGTGGTTAAAAAGGTTTATTACCATGCTAGTGGTATTTATGTGATCATCATGTGAACACATATTAAGGCATAGAAGATTTGACTAGGTAATTTTAGACCATGGTCTCACAAAATACTTCCATGATTTATGTAATAATGATGCTAGCTCTGCTAGTAGTGGCTACAGACCACCAAATATCTCTCTGGAGAGCAATAAGTTAGCAGGATTTCTGAATCTACCTAGGTGATAAAAAGCTCTCTATGGATCAACGGAGATGCTTGTCAGTTTTCTGTAAGAAATTCAAAAAATTGCAAGAGATGCTCAAAATTGGCAGTGGCACTTGCTAGAATTGGGACAGTTACATTCAACCTAAAAGCAATGTCACACTAGCGATCCTGTTGCTGGTGTTAAGTTTTCAGTGACAGGGTTGCTATGCAGGGAAATCAGTGAGGTAAAAATTTGATATTTGACTGTTTTGTAAACCAAAAAGGGGAAAAGAAATTTCAACTTATCTGTAAATACTGTATCAGAGCACAGAACACAGGCCAGATTTTCATAGACACTGGGTTTTAGGCTGCTACTCTCAGGTGATTGGACACTTGCAAAGCTTTAGGACATGCCTTCCTTGGGCGTACATCTATAACCCTACCACACCCTGTGAAACCTCAGTTTTTTTTCCCCCAGCAGCAGTGCAGCATACCACAGGAATTGATACAAACTTTACAGGCCAGACAAAATTCCTTTTATCTTAATGTTACAGTACAGAGGCTAAATATTCCTAGATCCTGAGATGTTCCCAAGCAATGGCAAGCAGGGAGTCTTTTTCAAGACCCTGTTTTCAGGGCAACTTATTTTGTAAAAAAGCTGTGGCCTTTGGATACTCACAGTTCTGACTATGCCCAAACAATGGATAGCAGTTTCCCTGGGACGCTGGAGAGAAAGGTACAAGGAAGGTTGAACAATGTTTTTATTAACCGCATCCTGACCACCATATAGCTGAACTACTGCTACAGGGTGGCAGGGCTGCGCAAAATCACACATACATAACGTGATTTTCCATTTCTGGGTACGGGGCATGCGCGCCACCCTTGGCGGCTGCAGCTGTCGATCAGCAGGTCCCGGCCTGAGATTCCCTGCTGGCAGCCGGAAATCGCCAAGGAACACTGAAAGGGGAGAGGTTTTTTTTTCTGAATGTTTTATATCAAAAAGTAAAAAATATTTTTTTTTTCCCAAAATTGACAGTCTTTTTTTGTTTATAGCACAAAAAAGAAAAACCGCAGAGGCGATCAAATACCACCAAAAGAGAGCTCTATTTGTGGTAAAAAAAGGACAAATTTCATTTAGGTGCAGCGTTGCATGACCGCGCAATTGTCAGTTAAAGTAACTCAGTGCCATATCGCAAAAAATGACCTGGTTAGGAAGGGGGATAAATCTTCTGTAGGACAAGTGGTTAAGGGAGGCTGATAGCACCTTGGGAAGAAAGGAGGGTTATACACATAGGATCACTTTATTCTTATGAAGAATTAGGAAGGACTCGGATGCTAGTGCTAAAGGATCCTTGGTTCTGGCCACAAAAAAGTAGAATTTGTCGAACCTGGAGGCCAGGACGTCCACATCTATGTTCACTATTTCTAAAGTAGGACATTGAAGATATTGAGATGGAGGGACCATTCCCCTTTGTCCAGGAAATGTTGACAGAGGAAACACACCTTCCAATTGCTCACTCCTGGTATGTGAACAGTAGAGATTGCTGAACAGTGATTTTCTGTCCAAGAGATAATCAGACTTGTTTCCTTCCAGACTGCGTGCCTTCTGGTTTCCCCTTGATGAATGCTTTAGGTCACTGTTGTGGCAGTGTCTGACTGCATCCCCGACTGGGTGTCCCTGGAGGGGGAGGCAGTGGTGCGGACCCATTTTATTGCTTTGAGCTCTAAGATGTTGAGTATTTCCTGGGATAAAGTGTACCCTTTTCACACCAAACAAAAAGATGAATTTTGACTTACCTGTAAACTCTTGAATCTTGGAGTACAGAATAGGACACAGGCAAATTATTCATACACCATGGGTTATGGGCTCTTACCTTCAAGTGACAGGACACTGGTAAGCTTTTGAGGACATGCCCTTTCCTGGGGAGTTTCCTTTAACCCTGTCCTACTCTGTGAAAGCTCAGTTTTGAAGCAAGCAATGCAGAGTACCAAGGAGAGTTAGGGAAGGTGGCCTGTGGGCTTGTACTGTGCTCAAAGAAAGCAACAACCCAGGTGGTGATGGTTCTCTAGTGAAGTCATCATGACAAAATGGCAGGATGACGTGCCCAAAGCATCTTAAAAAATGGGACTAGGCAGGAGTGGGGGGATGTCCGGGGGGGTGGGGGCAGTCCTTGAAACCTTAAGAAGAATGTAATCACATGAACGAACCAGCCTATCACTTCAGGTTGATGAATATCAAGCATGTGTACTGTATTGTCTAATTAAGATACATCCTCTTCCATGTGTGGCTCTCTTTAGCCAGCTGGATAAGCGAGAAGTCACTTTCTCGCTGACAATTTACCTTCTGCTGCATTTCCATCAGTGGGGTAGTAATGCCTCACTTAACTGGTCAGTGAAGGACTAACACACATAGAATAGGTGAGTATTCTGTCCACAGTTTTAAGACAGAACTTGCCAGTGAAGGGACTACTAGAAAGAAATGGGCCTAAGAACACATATATGAACAGCTCTGCCAAGAAAATCAATGTAGCTTTTCCAACCTTCATCTGTGCCAGTTGTTGCTGCTGATGTTGCTGCTGCAAGCGTCGAAGTGCCTCCTGTTGCTGCTGCCTCTGTCTCTGTAGCTCTTTTTGTCTTTGAGCTTCTTCACGCTTTTTGCGGTCTTCTTCCTCCTGCCGCTGTCTTGACTCTTCCAGCATTCGCCGTGCTGCCTCTTCCTCCTCACGAGCCCACCTTGCTGCCTCCTCCTGCAAAGAAAATGGAATAAAGTACAATTATTCTGGTGCAGCATGAAGACTACAATTAGCTTAACAAAGAGACAGGAGGAAGAATAACTTAGGGCCTTTTACACTAGCCTTACACAAACTCTCCATTTATGCGTGTAAGCTGGTGTTCATTGTGAGAGGCAGTGAGAGGTGATGCCATGAGATGTTTCAGTGCATGCCATAGTTTCTCTTACTGCACACTGCATGAATGGGCTCTAAATCACACAAGCTGTGTTTTAAGTATCATAGCCATGGCAGCCAATCAATCACTGTGCCTCCCATTTATGTTTACTCAAAACATGTCTTTTCAATTCATTTTTCCACTCAGGAGCATAACATTGGCAACAAATCTATCAATAGAGGAATCCTATATTAAAGCGGACAACAGTGTATACTCTGCAGCGCTCTAGGAATCAATTGCCAAAGGAAGGCCAGGGGACCACAGCAAATGGTGGCCTATGGATAAAGTGTCGGGGATGCAGCCCTTCTCAGATGGGGAAAATCTACAACTGGAAAAGAGCAAACAGGTGGAACAAACACCTAGTGCATTATCCACGGTTTATTCAAATGGTATTGAAAGATGATCCAGTATGAGGTACCCAAGAGATTGTGCAACATTCACACCTCCCCTATTGCAACTTTTATACCAGGTTTGTTTTTGTTTTTTTTTCTATCATCTTTCAATACCATGATTATTTTCATAAATTTTATGATACCTTGATTACTATATTTTAATGTACTACATACCCATACTTTTATGTTTGCAGCATTTTATATAGGTATTTGTTATTATTGCATTTATTTGTCAGTCCTTTGGTTTTGATTAACTCCAATGATCCTCCCCTTTTATGAGCTCAAGGGGAGAAGCATTGTTCCTAATGACAACAGCCATAGTTTTTCTCGCATGACCTACATCCAGGTGGGTCAACAAGCTCTGGTGAAAGGGATTTGTCCCCGAAAAGCATCAGCAACACGACCGCACTGACAGTCGGACACCCTGTCCATTATTGTTGCCATCTCCATTGTCATACAAAGCGTTATATACATGCTACGTTTGTGAGTATGTTTTTTTCTTTTATACATTTTGAATAAACCGTGGATAATGCACTAGGTGTTTGCGCAACCTGTTAGCTCTTTTCCAGTTGTTGATGAACCCTATATTAACCCTGGTTATGAATAAACTCCATTACAGCAGTTTAGACATATGGGTGTATAGACGTTAGACGCCGTATAGACGCCCTGTGCATTGAAAGTCTGGGTCAAACTACCACCACATAAACTCACTTGCTTCCTGTGAAGTTCTTCCCTTTGCCTTCTCTCCTCCTCCTCTCGTTTCCTTTCCTCTTCCTTTCTTCGCCTTTCATCTTCTGCCCTTCTCCTTTCCTCATCAAGTCTCTGCCTTTCTTCTTCTTGTCGTCTTCTCTCCTCCTCTTGCCGCCTCCTCTCTTCAAGCAGCCTCTGTTCTTCCTCTCTTTTCCGCTCTTCTTCCTCTATCTGCCTTCTAAGTGCCAGTTCTTGTTCCCTCTGTCGCCGTAGAGCTTCTTCCTAAAAGATAATACACAATGACTTCTTTAATGAGTGGTTCTGCTTCCTCAAGCTGACATGGCATACCAAGAAATAGGACATTAGATAATATGCTTTCATTCAAATAGAGAAAATTTGCAGGCCAATTTCCCCTTGAAATCTGAAAAAGGAATTTTCACTAATACCCATTAAAGAAATGCTAACTTTAGGAATCAAGAATACATTAATTTTATAATGGAAACAGGCCTTTGAAAAGTTAGTTAACTGAACAATTTGAGACCACTTGCGTATTCTGAGTCCATTGTTCTGGGTTATACCACTGCCCACGCAAGGTTAGGATACTGACAAGCAACTGTAGACAAGCCCAGTGTATAATCCCTACTACTACCAGCATGCCTTAGCTTTGTCCCTCGACAGTCTGAAGAAAAATAATTTTACAGCGAGTACAAAAAAAAAAAACATTTTCTTTCTTGTCCATTTAGTGTCAAAGGAAGTCTTTCACCTTTGATATATGTTAGACCAGGAAAGGCAATCCACGCACAAAGTAGAGCAATTAAACATCAATACACAACGATAGTCATCAGAAAGAACCTTCAGCAGGCAAGCAAACACTCAGATCAGGTGGAGGTGGGAATCACAATGTTTAGGGAGAAAAGAACCCTTTCTCAAGCGAGAGCCACCTGTCACTATCAATTGAGAAAAGGGTCTTTATTCTGAACGAGTGTGAAGTTTATTTTGGGGAAGTAGACATGTTCAGCACCAGAAATAGATATGCCAATCGATGAGTCAATTCCACCATAGATTTTTTGGTGTATTGGGATCTGAAAACACTAGTGTGCTGAAAAGGAGGATATATGCAGATAAGACATTTTTTTTATGTTCACAGGAGCTGTGAAATCTCCCTGTTGAAGGCAGATAACAGATCTGGTCAATTCCATCTGGAATTTGTGAAACCAAATGAAGACATCGAAGGCTGAGGTTCAGTATGGGAGCAAAACTTGAATTTGTAGACCTGTGATGTCACCTCCCCAAGTGTCCAGAAAGTAAGATGCCCAAGCATACACAAGAGGTCAAAAGACATCCTTGCCCCCCACACCTCTGGAAGGTGAAGGCACACCTTCATACCAAGGAAGGAAGAAAAAGAGCCAAGCTTGTTGAGCCTTGATTGTGCTCCAGATATTCAACAAGCAGAAGTTTAATGGTCAGCAGTGGCTAGATCCTTTTTAGGGATTTAATTCAGTCATCTGATCTGCAAAGTAAAATCACATCAGGGAATCAGGAGGACTCAGAGAGAAAAGTGATTTGGAAAGGATTTTGAAGTGGTTACAAGTACAGTCCTTAAAAGGCGGGTGCATCTTCCACTTGGGAGAGTAGTCACCTTGCTAAGGTGAGACAGGGTTGAGGAATCCTCAGAGGGAATGAATAACTGTTCAACAAAATCCTCACTACACAGATAAAATCCCGGCAAGCACTTAGAGGGAGAAAACAACTTTTGTATAGAAAGTGCTGGAATTGTAGTTGCAAAAAGAAAGACACTGCTACCATAGAAGCACAATACAACCCCAGGCTTGAATCAGCATTATTAGAAACAGCAGGCAGATCAACCAGTCACCAATAAAACCTGAAACAGTCTCTGTTAACTTAGCAGTAGACTGGAACTCCTCAGGGGTAAGACTCATTCAACAAAGACTTGAGTGACTGATATTAAACAGTCTCTGTAGCTAATGGTTCAGAAGCAGCTAAAGCCATTGGTAAAATCAGATACAGAATCTGCAGAGGACACAGGAGCATGCTTATGTCTTTTGTGGCCAGAATCCACAAATAATTTAAGTCATAAGTTCTGCATGACCATAGTAAAAACTGTAGGTGGGCAGAAGGAATGGATTGACTTTGTCCTTATAACAGAAGCAGCAGCAGGGGGATGTTTCCTTGACACTGTATGGGGGAACTCCATCCATCCAGCAAATTACATTGTCGCTCTATTCACATAGCTTTAAGTCCTTCCACGGCTGGGTTCGGATGCAATTAATTTCAGGACAAACGCACCGAAAAGCTGCAGACTGGAGGGGAACCTCCAGCAGCACTGTAGAAAAAAAAAATCTTGATTGAGGAAAAAAAAGTGACAAAGAAAAAATTGCTACAAAATCACAGGTTAGTCTTTAAGACTGCTGAAGAAAAGGTGTCCATCCACCTAGGACGATAGCAAAAAAAACCCCGAGAAACATTGATAGTAAAAGGGGTTATTCCCTGTGCTGACCTACAGTTTGTTTGCCTGCATTCAATCTTCCTGTAAGTGGCATATAACCCAAATGTTCAAAGATTATTTGCACTCTCTTACAAAGTGCACAAATTCCTTTTGCTCTTCTTCACTAACAAAACCCACCGTCCCCCTCCAGAGATGCAGAGCTGCTCAGGTGGGACCAGGAGAAAAAAAAAAAAAAAAAAAAAAAAAAAAAAAACTTACAGCGCAGGATGTAAACATCCCTACAGGCTGCAGGCACTGCATTCTGGCAAGTATGGACCCCTAAGGAGGTGGCGGGTGGGCTCTGTTGGGTCAACAGAGGGTGCAAAATCAATAATTGCATTTATTCTTCAAGACCTCCTGTGCTCAATGGGCAAAATCAAAACTAATAAAGCTAAACAAGTAAAAAACCTACAAGACTTTATTCTTTCTAATGCTTAGGTGCACTTGTGATCAGTTAGCATTTCTTAAAACGGAAGCAGACAAGCACAGTGGGTACTTAAAAATAACTCCACGCAGATGAATAGCTTGTATAAATTTCCAGGCAGCTCTAAAGTGCGAAGAGAAACAAAGTATTTCCACTTTCGCAGCCAAACTGGGATAATACCTATTTTTTAATTTTAAAAATGCAGCTTTTCATTTTTTCAAATGCTTTATTCTGGACAATCCAACAAGGGGGGAAAAAAAAAAAAAAAAAAAAAAAAGGTATTTTAGTACGCACCGCAAAATCCTATAAAAATAAAAACAACAGGAACCACAGCCCGGCAGAACTCAAAATGCCACGTGCAAAAAAAACTTCATGGCCAGCTGGCATCTGCCAAGGCAAGCAAGTCAACCTGTAGAACTTGGCAAAAGTGAGAATAGAGAACCAAGTAGTCGTCTTGCAAATCTAACAGAAGCAGAATGGTGGAACACCCAAGATGCACTCAATGCTCTGGAGGAAGTAACAGGGAACAGAGGTTCTCGGCCTGACTGGGTATAGGCCTGAATCACTGATTGACGATTTCATCTAGAAATAGTAGAGAACAAAGCAACTGTCCTCTTCTAGGGCCATCCGGGAAGATGAACAAGGAATCAGTCTGCCACACAAAAACCATAGACGCAAGATAAACCCAAAAGGCCCCCAACCATATGTTGTTGATGGAGGTCCATTTCTCTTGCATTGAAAATGATGATGGCACAGAGAAGTTAAGTGGTGTCTTTGTTGAAATTTTAATAGCAGACACCACCTATGATAAAAAGCACAGCAAAGGATAAAGTACTATTTTATCCTGTGTAACACCAAAATGGCTGCTTGCAAGAAAGACACAAGCTCGGACACCTTACACGCAGAAGTGAAGGCCACAAGGAAGGCCACCTGCAACAGAGTACATAGGAGGATATCTTGGGCATCGCCAATGGATAAAAGTACGAACCAGGGAGAGAGAGCCAAGAGATGTTTGAAAGAATGGTTGCAGCAGAAACCTGGTCCTTTCACAGTGCTTACTGCAAAACGCCAATCCACTCCCCTTGAAGAAAGGCTAGGGTGTGAGCAGCCAAAAACGCGCAGGCATAAAACCCCAGAGAATCACTGTAGGTGAAGTAAACCCTCCAGATGCGATACAAGATTAACTACCGTATTTTCCGGCGTATAAGACGACTTTTTGACCCTTGAAAATCTTCTCAAAAGTCGGGGGTCGTCTTATACGCCGGTATACGTCAGGGGGCACTTTTTAGGGGAGTGGTGCAGTGCCGCCGCCATCCCCCCCTTCCGACGGAAGGGACACTAAGTAGAGGGGTGGGCAGAGGGCTGCTGTCTCTTACCTGGCTCCCACGACGACCCAGTCCAGGAAGCGCTGCTCCTTCAGTCACTCCGGCCACTCCCTCACTCCTGCCGCTCGGCTCCGCCTCCTCACCGGTGATTGGCCACCAGAACTGTAGTTCAGGAAAGGCACACAGGCGGCCAATCACGGGCGAGGAGGCAGAGCCAAGCGGACCCGTGAAAATCGAGTGAGGGAGAAGCCGGTAAGTGTGCCGTGCAGAGGTGCTGCTGCAACCACATATGCTGGCTGCAGCAGTACCATACTGGAACAGGAGTCAGCAAGTGTCATTGGTGTCAGTGGGAGGAATAGTGCCCCATCATTGGTGTCACTGACACCAACGATGGGGCACTATTCCTCTCACTGACACCAACGATGGGGCACTATTCCTCCCCCCACTGACACCAACGATGGGACACTATCCCTCACACACTGACACTAATGATGGGGCACCATCATTGGTGTCAATGGGAGGAATAGTGCCTCATCATTGGTGTCAGTGGGAGGAATAGTGCCCCATCATTGGTATCAGGGGAGGAATAGTGCCCCATCATTGGTATCAGGGGGAGGAATAGTGCCCCATCATTGGTGTCAGTGGGAGGAATCGTGCCCCATCATTGGAATACCATACCATATTGAAATCAAATCTGATGTTTTTTAATTTTTATTTGGTGTGCGTTGGAAGAGGGGTAGTCTTATACGGCGAGTATAGCTCAAACCCTATATTTTAACAGGAAAAGTAGGGGGTCGTCTTATAAGCCAGAAAATACGGTACTTGCCAACCGCAGATAGCCGAATGACGGCTACACTGCGGCCGGCCAGTTCTGGGAGGGCATCATATGACGTCCTCCCAGAACGCGCTCTCCTGCGCGCCCCTGGCGATCTCTGTGTCCTAAGGACACAGCTGATCACATGATGTGGTAAAAGGCCAATCACAGTGGCCATTTACCATGTGATCAGCCGTGTCCAATGACACGATG